GGGTGTCTCATCCTCGCTGCCTTCCTGAGGTAACAACTGGATAAGCATTGGCTTTGACTGACAGTATGATTCCTTTTCTTCCAAGGAGACTCTCATCCACACAGCAGTTCTCTGCAGGGAGCTGCTTTTCAATTATGGGCAAACTTTGGGAAACCAGATCACACAGCTGGTTTTGTACCTTCTTGCTCAAGATGCTGCTACTGTTGGCAAACACAAGTTGAGACAGAGAAGAAACATCTCTCCTGATCATCTCAGACCCTTGGCCTTCCTTTTCTCTTGCCACCTCTCTCTGCCTCTCTCTTCCGACCTGTCTGGCCCAGCATTTCACAGACATATCATTGCAGAAGCTCTTTTCTATCTCAGCAATACATATTTTCTGACTTTGTAATGTGAATGCACGGGGCTTTTGAAAGCTGATGTGGGGACACAGAAGCACTCTCATCTCGCTCACATTCTTAGGGTGTCACAGACTCTCTCCTGGATGGCACATGTCTTGCAGCATGCCCTGACTATGCATTCTGGGACCAGTACTATTCAATATATTCATCAATGACATGGACAAGGGAATAGAGTGCACTGTCAGCAAATTTGCTGATGACACAAAACTGAGAGGAGTGGCTGACACACCAGAAGGCCGTGCTGCCATTCAGAGAGACCTGGACAGGCTGGAGAGTTGGGCTGGGAGAAATGTGATGAAATACAACAAGGGCAAGGGTAGTCTTGCATCTGGGAAAGAAAAACCCCACATACCAGTCTAGGTTGAGAACTGACCTGATAGAGAGTAGAGCAGGGGAAAGGGACCTGGGGGTCCTGGTGGACAACAGGACGACCATAAGACAGCAATCTGGGGGTCCTGGTGGACAACAGGATGACCATAAGACAACAATGACCCTCGTGGCCAAGAAGGCCAATGGCATCCTGGGGTGTATTAGAAGCAGTATGGTCAGTAGGTCGAGAGATGTTCTCCTTCTCCTCTACTCTGCCCTGGTGAGACCCCATCTGGAATAATGTGTCCAGTTCTGGGCCCCTCAGTTCAAGAAAGACAGGGAACTGCTGGAAAGAGTCCAGCGCAGAGCTACAAAGGTGATGAAGGGGGTGGAACATCTCCCTTCTGATGAAAGGCTGAGGGAGCTGGGTCTCTTTAGCTTGGAGAAGAGGAGACTGAGGGGTGACCTCATTAGTGTTTATAAATACGTAAAGGGCGAGTGTCAGGAGGATGGTGCCAGGCTCTTCTCGGTGATGGCCAATGACAGGATAAGGGGTAACGGGTGCAAGCTGGGGCATAGGAGGTTCCACATTAACATAAGGAAAAACTTTTTCACTGTGACAGAGTACTGGAACAGGCTGCCCAGAGAGGTTGTGAAGTCTCTTTCTCTGGAGACATTCAAAACCCTCCTGGATGCGTTCCTGTGTGATCTACTCTAGGTGGTCCTGCTCTGGCAGGGGGGGTGGACTAGATGATCTTTTGAGGTCACTTCCAACCCCTAACATTCTGTGATTCTGTGATTCCTCCTGCATGTCCTCAATGTCAGGGCTTCCCTTTTCCCTTCCTTGATCTCACAGCCTTCTGAGATTGGGGAGGATTATGAAACACCTTCCAAGAGTTCCCATGGTCTTTCACCCTGCTGGAGGTGTCCTGGAGCCAGCAAGAAGGGACAGGCACTATAGCCTGTTCCCTGGAGATTCCAGGCAGTATGAGAGTGGGGACAGAAGACCTGGATGAAAGCACAGCTCTCTCTGCGGGTATCCCTGTGGGAGGTAATTAACATTATTGTGCTGTGGGATCCACATTGAGATGAGGGCTTAGACCTCCTGCCCAAAGACACTCACTGCCTTGCTATTCCCATCGATATGACTCTGGCTGCAGAGCAAGGCACAAGGAGCCTTCTTCTCTGACACATTGCATCCTCTCTTGTTTTGTATCTCAGATCCTTTCCCAGCACAGGTGCTGACGCTTGCTTTCTTCCAGGCACCATAGGGTAGACCAACGTCACCCAGAAAGAAGCACAAGTCACAGTAGAAAAGAGAGATGCCTTCCAGACCACCTGCAGCTATGAGATGGCCAGCTTTGATGCCTTGTTTTGGTACCAGCAGAGGAAAAGACAAGCCCCACAGCACATCTCGTATCAGGAAATATCTGGCTTCAAGCCGAGCTCACAATGCTGCCGAACGCCACAGGGAAATACAGTGTCCTGGAGCTGGAGGAAGTCGAGGTCTCTGACAGTGCCTTGTACGTCTGTGCTGTGCAAGACACCCTGGTGCAGGCAGGTTCCTTGGCTGTGTTGTGTTAGAAGTAAGGGTGTGACATTTGCCTGTCAGAGCCCTCTCAGGGACTTTCACTGAAACAGTTTCACAGAGTTGCAAATATAGGTAGTTTATTAAGGTAACAGATATAACAAGTTTGGAATTGCGATTGATAAATGCACTTACTGTAATAGCACTAATGTACTGTAATTATGCTGGCCAAGTTTTCCCAGGTATTCTTCACCAGGGGCAAAGGTGCAGTTCTTACCAAGAAGGCGTCCCCACCTTGGGTGGAGGAGGAGAAGCACAACCCATAAACTATCTCTTCTAGATCTGCAGTCCTTTTCCCCCAATTTTTACCCCTTATTCTCCCCTTTTTATTCTCTAATTCTTTGATTCTTCTCCCATGGGTTATGTATAGCATGATTTAGGCAGAGAGTTTACTGACATAGTCATATGTGTATAGCATGATGTCTATAATTCTCATTTTAATCAGAGGTGTTAACTGTGATATTAATTTTCTAGGTAATTAAGAAAAAGTTTCACTCCAGGGCAGCATAGCCTTCAGAGTGTTATGCTGAAACAGTTTCTCTGCACTCTTTAGCCAAAACAGAGTCGTCTTGCTGCTGCAAGGCTCCCTCTTTCAGCTATTACCTCCCCTTGCAAAGTTTGTAGAAGGGAGAATCAGATACCATCACGCTTATCCTTTTGTCGTTTTTTGCCAGATAAGCAAGTTACTCAGCTCTTGTCCTTGCTTTATCCAGGGCACGATAACCTTACAAACCTAGCATTTCTCCACAGGCTGTGCAACAACCCAGGGGAGGGAGGGCATGTGTGTGTGGTGCAAGGTTGACCTTGGCGGAAGGGGCCCTCAGCTCTCCCCTGGCAGCACTGCTTCCCCTGTGCACCAAGAGCTCTGAAGGCCAAGATCCTCTTCCAGGACAGGACAGTGTCAGTGGCTTGAGAATTAGGAGAAGCTGGTGAAAATGTCTTAGGTTTCCTCATTTTCATGATGGGTTATGTGCCTGTTCTGCCCGGTGGCTCTGGTGAGATGATGGGCAATGCAAGAGGTTGGGACTACTTGTGCAGTTGTTCCTTGCCGCTGCTCTTTTCTTTATGGTTTTATCTGGCACATATTGTTTGTTCAGGTATTCTTGTCTCTTAGAGTACCTGGTCTGGGATGTGTCCCTCAGAGATATGACTTCAAAGTAAGATGAAAAACATAAACAACATGCCACATGGCAATGCCCCATCCTGGACTAACATGATTACAACAATTTTGGAAAATACTCAGAACTACTCTGTGAACCCTCCAGTTGTTGCATGGCCATGTGCTGGGATCCAGAAGATTTGCTCTCCCGCTGTGCACTCTGGTCCTTGGAGCCCTTCCTGTGCCCTGCCTCATGGGCTTCCCCCAGCCCTGCCTCATTTCTCCTGCAGTGGGACCAGACTGTACAATTCTATCCAAGAGCACAATGAGGGAGTAGGCCACCGGACAGAGGTAGGCAACAGGCCCTGCCAGGAGAAGAGCTGGCTTTGGGAAAAGATGCTTTATCCTTGGGGGAAGGCCAGGCACCACAGAGCAGTCATAGGGGGCTTGGGCTCTGGATGCTGTCTGGTGGAAGCTGAGTGTGTGTAAAAGGCATGAGAGCCCTAGTGTGTGGCCTGGCCAGGCTGATTTCTACATCAACCTATGAGTCACTTTAACCCTGCACATTTGTGTAACTGCTGGGCTCTGCAGGGACCTGTTTGGGGGTAGAGGGCATATAGGTGGCCAGTCCTTGCTGTCCTTTCCGTGGGGTGCAGGCCATGCTCTGTCATTCTGGAGACAGGTGGGAGGATGAGGGGGGAAAGGTGGGGCTGTTTTAAAGGCTTTTTCTCACATCATACCCACCCCTGCATCCTTTGTGGCTACCTTCTGATAAAGACTCTTTTCCCAGCACAGGGCTATATAAAGCAGGAAGAACTCCCTTCAGCACAAGTTTGTGAGATTCTGACCTCTCAGAGACTCCAGCAACACTAGACTCCTTTCTAGGGGATAGCAGTGGTCAACATCTTCATCTGCAGGATATGCTCTGAGGCAAAGAGGCCATATCTGAGCAGAGATGCCAGCATGCAGGGCCTGATCACCATTGGCTTTGGAGGAGCTGAGTATGTGTTCCTCAGATCCAAGAGACAAGTGACTGGAAGGGACCCATTGCCCTGTGTCACATCCTCCCCTTCCTCTGGGAATGATGAAAGGTCCACTCGTGCCCACACCTTACCTGCTGTCACACTAGGCAGTGCCTTTCTTCCTTAGCAACACGAGACAATGTCTGCAAAGAAAAGGATTATGTGGAGGCAGAGTCTGGGATGCAGAAAACTTCGATGACTCTGAGATGGGAAATGTGCTCACCTGTAGAGGAGGCAGTCAGAGCAGGGAAAGTACCACCATCTGCAGAAAGCCTGTACCTATCACCCACATTGAAGATCCCGCAGGGCATCCATCTGCTTGCCCCACAGAGGGGCCAGCAGATGTCCCAGGTTGGCTCTGGAGTTCTCATGGCACAGAACAACAGAAGACAAGAAAGAGATGGGAGAGAGAGGAAGGCTGAGAAGTTAGACTTTGGTCATTTTTTCAGAGAACTCCAGCTGGCATCCTTTAGAAAGGCAGCACTGGATGCTCAAGGTCTCTGAAATTGATAGCCAGGAACTCTGTCCTCAGCCCAGCTTTGGGTTCCTGGGTGTCCTTATCTGGGCTTTAACCAGTAGCTTTATCAGGGGTGACACCTTCTGCCACAGTAGCAGCTGGCACTGCAAGAGAGGTCGCAGCAGCCAGAGTTGATGGGCACACCTTCACAGCTGAGGATGCTGCAACCAGCAGCAGAGGTGGAGGAGCCCACGGCGGTGTTCTGTGGGAAGGAGCTGAGGATGGGGCCGGGCAGGGTCACCACCACGGGGGAGGGCTGGATGACAACAGTGGAGTTCTGGCACTGCCTGACACAGCACTCATTGCAGCTGTTGGCCAGAGGGGTTGGGCCACAAGGCCGGCATGGCAGGCACTGATTGTAGCCGGACATGTCTTGAGGGTGGAGGTGCACCTGGAAGAGAGGGTTGGGAGGAGTCAGAGCACAGGGACATGTGAGGAGCAGCCTGCCACCAGTCTGTCACCCTGACTTGAGTGTTTCAAAGGCACCTGAGTCAGGAGGTACAAACTCGGCAGTGAGGCAAAAGGGTTACTTGGCCTCATCCTAATACACCACTGCAAAGTGTTGCCAAGCCCAATGAGGCTGATGACTATCTCTTAAAAGAAAAGCCTCCTCAAGCAAGTTCTGAGTCCCCAATGCTCTTTGAGTCAGACCTTCACCCTTCTTTTCCCTCCCATGACAAGTAGCACCATGACCCAGCATGGGATGAAGGAGTGTGCATCTAAATAAACAGAAAAAGTTCATGAGGAAAGGGCTTCAGACTCACCTGGTTCCTAAGGAGAAGTCATGAGAAGTGGATGAGAGAGCAAGGAGTTGGGCTAGCTTTTACGGTGGCCCTGACCTGCCCCAGGCCCAGAGGTAGCTTCTACGGAAATGGCAATTTTCTAAGGTGCTTATGATGAACGGAAAACATCCCAGCTAATGACATGGGCTGGGTGGTTGTTTTCCCCAGTGACGCCTTTTCATTTCCTGGTTTATGCCATACCCATTCCCTCGTAGACACTTCTTATGAGTGCTGGAATTGAGAGTCTCCAGGATTTCCAGGGCAGGAATGTATCAGTGCCCACAGAAGACTCAGCTCAAGTGCTGGATGGCTGCAGTGCAGACAAGCGTTGGCCTGGGGTACACCGATGCAGCTGCCTATGGCCATGTTGACAGGAAAGGGCCCTGCAATCCTTGGCTGGTCACTCAAGGGCTTCCTTGCATGATGTGCCATGTCTTTCTCATGAAACTAAGCAGCCTTCCCCAAGCTTTGGATATTGAGGGCTGCAGAGGTTATTTCCAGACTTTTTTCAACACTGCTCAAAATCAAAGTTATGTGGGTCCTCTACTACCACTGGGATATTATGGGATGGACAGCAGGATGCTTGAAGAGAAAAATCACTTCTTAGCATGGCACACAGTTAATCAGGGGAAGACTTTTGCCTTGCAAAACGCCTGACTTACCATTGCCTACAAGATGTAAAAATTTTGAGGGAGGTCTCCAGTTTGCTAAGTATTCCCTACCTGATCCTCTTCCTACAAGAGTACATCTCCCTTGCTCTAGATTTCCTCCCTGGTTTCAAGGACCTAGGATTCCTACAGATTGATCTTGCATGAAAGATTGAGGCAAAGGTGGCATTCAGCACCTCAGCCTTTTCCATGTCCTGTGTTGTCAGGCTGTGCAGCATCAGAGAAGTCCAAATCATTCAGCTGTGGGACCACCTTTCCCCTAGCCTTTCTTTTGTCACCTGTGTACTTCCAGAAGCCCTTCTTGTTGCCATTGACATCCATTGCTAGATTCAGTTCTAGTTGGGCTTTGGTTTTCCTAACCACATCACTGAGTACTTGGACAATGTTTCTGTATTCCTCCCAGTTTACCCATCTTTGCTTCCACCTCTTGTATGCTTCTTTCCTGTGTTTTGGTTTTGCCAGGAGCGCCTTGTTCACCCATGCTGGCCTCCAGGCATGCTTGCCTGACTTCCTCCTCCTTGAGATGGTCTGCTCTTGAGCTTGAAGGAGGTGATCCTTGAATATGAACCAGCTTTCTTGGGACTCTCTTGCCTCCAGGGCCATGTCCTAGGGGACACTTCCAAGAAGCCTTTTAAAGAAAATGTAGTCTGTTCTCCTGAAGTCCAGGATTGTGAGCTTTCTGTTTAGTCTCCTTGCTCCTCTCAGCATCCTGAACTCCACCCTTTCATGGTCACTGCACCCCAGGCTGCCTTTGATTTTCACATCCCCAACAAGCCCTTCCTTCTTGGTGCATATAAGATCCAGCAGAACACCTGTCTGCCTTGGATCCTCTATCATTTGGGTGATGAATTTGTCATCCATTCACTCCAGAAAACTCCTGGCTTGCTTATGTCCTGTTGTGTTGTCCCTCCAGCAGATATCGCAGTGGTTGAAGTTCACCATAAGTGCCAGTGCCTGTGAATGTGAGCTGCTCCTATCTGCTTGTAGGGGGCCTCATCTGGTGGTTCTTCCTGGTCAGGCCACCTATAGCGGACACCCATTACAATGTCACCCTCACTTGACTTGTCTTTAATGCTTACCAATGTGCTCTCAGTTGGCACATCATCCATCTCCAGGCAGAGCTCCATGCACCCCAACTGCTCTCTCACAGAAACTGCAAGTCCCCCTCCTCCCCTTCTCAGCCTGTCCTTCTGAAAGAGGCTGTATTCCACCATTGCAACATGCCATTCATGGGAACTATCCCACCCCATCTCTGTGATCCTAACGTGATTGTAGGCCTGCAGCTGCACACAGATCTCTAACTCCTTGTGTTTATTCCTCATACTGCATGCATTACTCTACAGGCACTTGACAGAGGCAGCCCAGCATGTTGACTTCCTAGAAAGAATTATGGGGACTTCTCCACAGTGGTGTCTTGTATGCACTTCCTTGCTTACATGCAACTACTAGAGATGACCCTGGTTCAGCCCTGTTTTCTTGAGCTTGTGTTCCCTTCCTGGCACCTCATCCCAGGCCCTTTGCTCATTGACTATGTCCATCACTCCCTCACAGGGCTGCTGGTTACTTTCTCCCTCCCCTATCACTCGCAGTTTAAAGCCCTCCTTACCAGGTCAGCCATCCTATTGGCAAAGGTAACTTTGCCCCACGTGGTGAGGTGGATCACTCCTGAGCAGATGCTGCTCTGCAAACAGAGTCCCATGGTTGTAGGACTTAAAAACCTGCCACCGGCTCCAGTTCTACTGACAATTAATGACCTGTATTATTAGTGCCCTCCTCCACACACCCTTCCCCTCACCAGCAGGATTGAGGACAACACTATCCAGGCCCCATGACCTTGACTACTTCCCGTAGAGCTCTGTAACCACTCTTAATATTGTCCGGGTTTCCTCTAGCAGTATCATTTGTGTCCAAAAGAAATAACAGCAGGGTGTGGTAGTCAGAGAGCCGAGACAGCTTTGGCAGTCCGTCCACACATCCCAAATCTGGGCCCCTGGCAGGCAGTAAACCTCTCTAGATGACAGACCAGGTTGGCAGTGCCTCTATCTCCCACAGCAAGGAGTCACTCACAAGGCTCACATGCTGCTTATTCCTGGCGGCCATGCATGGTTTAGGGTCTGATGGACCAGTGCCTTGGCTTCAAGGCACATGTTGTTCCTCTTTAATTTTGAGGGCAGTGAATCTATTTTGTAGTTGTAAGCCCTTAGGTGGGGCGTGAGCCTTCCGCTTGCTGCCAGAAGTCACCAGGTTCCATCCTAGGACTGTTCCCTGGAAATTTCCTTTTGAGGGCTTTAGAATCCACGAGTGATGGTCACTTTTCAAGAACCACCTTTTGAAAGCACAGCAGGAGGCAATTCCATTGTGTCTCGAGTTAAGCAAATGGGGCAGAAGACCAGTTTGGCTGAACAGGGGACTCCTCGTGGAACTCAAGAGGAAAAAGAAACTGTCTGATCTCTGGAAAAAAAGGTCAGGCATTACAAGAAGATTTCAGAGCTGTGGTTTGTATATGCAGGGAGAAGACAAGAAACTCAATTAGAGTTGAAATCGGCCAGTATTTTGTCAGACAACAAGAAAGGGTTTTTTAAGTATGTTAATAGCAAGAGGAAGTCTGTCATGGTTTGAGGCTGAGCTGACCGCTAATGAATGACATATGGTCTCTATTAACCCCTCTCCTCTCCCAGAAGGGGAAGGGAGAGAGAATAAGACAGAAAGACTTACAGGTCTCCAGCACCAGAGAGTTCAAAAGGGTGGGAATTACTTTATGGGCAAGGAGAAAGGCTGAGGAATCCTGCCAACCATGTGCTGGCCATCCCTGAGTGGATCTGCTTCCAATGCAGTGTTGGTGGTGTCTGGGGTGGGACACAGCCCCCTCTCATGTCCGAGACAATGCCAAATGTACTTGTGCAGGTCATTGACCTGGCGCTATGTCAGGCTGGCTGTGAGACTTATCTCAAACAGGTACTGAATGAAAGGAACACAGAGCCTGACATTGCTGTGCTGGGAGTGGAAGGGACGGATTCAATGGTTTTCACAGGGAAAACCAAAGAATTGATGATTGTCTTGGACTTCACAAGGACCTTCATGCCCCACATCAGAATCTCAGTCTGAGTGTCCAGCAAGGGCCTCTGGGAGGGAAGGGACATTGAATTGCCTGTGATAATGCACATGCATCCCCCAAAGCCTGCTGCTGTCCTACAGGGGTGCACTTTCCACCAAGGACTGCCCACCATGTGTAAACTTCCGGAGCCCATCTCTCCTCCTGAATGTATTTCTGTCTGACTCCAACTTGCAGACAGTGCAGCCAAGGCTTCCCCCCTTCCCTTTAGTGACTTTCGGTGACACCAATGCCAGGGAGCTCTGCTGGAAGAGCTCAGCCCGGGCTGATTCCCCTCTCTATGGAGCTGCTTCTGTGCTGAGGCTCTAGTGCAGCTGAGGACAAACCTCACTGGTTTCTCATGAGGTAAGAGGCACTGTACAGAAGGGAAGGGGAGAAGAGAAGAGAAGAGAAGAGAAGAGAAGAGAAAGAAGAGAAGAGAAGAGAAGAGAAGAGAAGAGAAGAGAAGAGAAGAGAAGAGAAGAGAAGAGAAGAGAAGAGAAGAGAAGAGAAGAGAAGAGAAGAGAAGAGAAGAGAAGAGAAGAGAAGAGAAGAGAAGAGAAGAGAAGAGAAGATTTCAGAGGGAAGGGATGTACAATGAATATCTAGTCCAACTGCACGACGAATTCAGTGCTGACCAAAAGCCAAGGCATGTTATTAAGGCATTGTCCAAATGCCTCTTAAACATTGACAGGCTTGGGACATCAACCACCTCTCTAGGAAGACTCTTCCAGTGTTTAACCCTAATGTGTGTACCTAGACTCTAGCACGATGTTTGGCAGCCTCTCTCATACTTCCTGAATGACCAAATTGGAGATGAATGGATTCCGTGAGAGGATGATAAAGTAGT